AGCATTGTCCCCAGGGGCCAAAGAAGGCCAACAGCATCCTGGCCTGTATCAGCAATAGTGTGGCCAGCAGGAGCAGGGAGGTGATTGTTGCCCTGTACTCAGCACTGGTGAGGCCGCACCTGGAATACTGTGTCCGGGTTTGGGCCCCTCAAGACAAGAAAGACTTTGAGGTGCTGGAGCATGTCTAGAGAAGGGCAACAAAGCTGTTGAAGGGTCTGGAGCACAGGCCTTATGAGGAGCGGCTGAGGGAACTGGGGTTGTTTAGCCTGGAGAAGAGGAGGCTGAGGGGAGACCGTATTGCTTTCTACAACGACCTGAAAGGAGGTTGTAGTGAGGTGGGTGTTGGTCTCTTCTCCCAAGTAGCTAGCGATAGGACAAGAGGGAATGGGCTCAAGCTGCACCGGGAGAGGTTTAGATTGGATATTAGGAAGAATTTCTTCACAGAAAGTAGTCAAGCATTGGAACAGGCTGCCCAGAGAGGTGGTGGAGTCACCATCCCTGGAAGTGTTCAAAAAACAGGTAGATGTGGCACTTGGGGACATGGTTTAGTGGGCATGGTGGTGTTGGGTTGGACTGATGATCTTAGAGGTCCTTTCCAATTTAATGATTCCTAGTTTTTACTTTCATTATAAATAATGCAGCCACCAAGCCAGGAAACATGAAATTGCTACTCTACCCTTAATTGGTTTAGTGGTGGACTTGGTAGTGTCAGGTTAATGGTTGGAGTGGATGATCTTAAAGGTCTTTTCCAACCTAAATGATTCTATGATTCTATGATTCTAAAAGCTTTACCTTTAAATGTCAAAACTCTATTCATTTAATGAGGAAGAAATTATAAAGATTTTTTTTTAAAAAAAACTGTGGTCATACTGGTGCCAAATCCTTAGCTGCCTGTTTCATGGGTACTCAAGTGGTCTGAGTTACATTTTGCAGTCTCTGATGTAGCTAGCTGCACTTTGCCTGCTCTGGGACTGATCTTTAGCAGTTGTAAGTCAGTCTAAATTCCCTGAGGGCAGTGACCTGACACCCAGTTATTTTGGCTGTGATTCTGAGTTACCATGCACATCATGCCCTTTTACTGCTCTGCTCAATAAGACAACTTTAGGGGAAACTGCCTTCTTTCCACCCTTTCAGCATTGCGTTGTGTCAGGATATTAGGGATTTGAAAACAAGGTTACCTCTTGTTATCAACACATAACAGGCACTTTAGAAATTCCAGAAGGAAATAAATTATTTTCTCATTTAAATTTGATTCTATGTAGGTAAAAAGATATAGTTCTGTTTAGGTATTCTATGTAGGTAAATGTGAAAGTGTAGTTGTTCAGATGTATGCTCTTAGGACAGAAGAGACATGCTGCAGCCCTGTTCTTGGCCAAAACTTGGAAAGTTAACTCTCCCCATCCTTCAAAGACGTCAAAGAGCACTTTTTGTCCTGGGATTATTTCCTCACATGCATGTATCTTTACACAAGACAATACACATGGAGTATTGTGTGTGGTTTTGCAGCTAGATATACTCAGTGATTTGGCGTAACTCATAGCAAGATGCGCCTTTGAACAAAAGGAGAATCTAGGCCAAAATTTCTTGGGACACCTGGGGTCTGGAACACACCTGACATCATACAGATGTCAGCAAGGAGAAGGAATGCTATTATTAAGCTTATGCAGTTTTCTGAGTGACTAAAATTGTTATTGAGTATGAAGTCTGACTGATGAATAACAGTGCTAATTCTTTTTCATTGCATTTGCATTACAGTATGGAAGACATGGACTGATTAATGAGATTTTCTTCACTACTATTAGGAATAACTAGAGAGGCAGGTTCAAACCCTTATTAAGCTGCCTGATTACATACCATAAGATGTTATTCTTAACAGGGTTGGACAAATTATTGCCATCAAAGCAAAGGTGAACGGAGTTTTCAAAACCAGCATGGAGGTAAGAGGTCATCACTTTTATTCCTAATGATATTTAAAGAATAGAAGAGAGGTGGGAGGAGTAGAGGAATGCAACATGGGTCCAGTCTTAGTTGTTTCAGATGGAGCTTTGTGCAGCTATCTAAACAATAACACTGCCTGATGAAACTCTGGTTTCATAATGGCTCTTATAATTGCAAAAATAATCCTGTAAAATAATCCATGTCAAAATAGAAACTGGACCCCAAAAACTTAAAATCCTTGGCAGGTGTAATAGACAGGATGGGATAGATGGTGTTGGTCCAGACCAAAACTATTGACCTCTAAGCAGGCTTTGGATCAGAGCTAGGATCCACTGAATAGGTGGAGTTCTAAGTATTTTTTAAACTTCCGATACAAAAAGTATTTATCTTAGGTGTACGCATGTTCTTACTCTTCATATTGTAGCAAGTATGCAATGCATTGCCCAAGTACTTACTTGAAATCAGAATTGAACCTTAAGGGCACTTCTCTCTGTATTGTGCCCAAGTCCATTTCTTATTAATATTAATGGGAGTCATGCATCTCACAGAGAATGTAGTTCAAAAGGTTCTAAAAATTAGAAAAAGATCAGAAGCTTCAATAGATGTCAGGCATGCCTCACAGGATCAAATACAGTGTTTCACCTTCAAGTGTTTCATTGTGTTTATACAGATTTTTTTTCTCATACAGATCTTAGATTCAGATGGGGACTCCAAATGGCACACAAGTACATGGAAAGAGATATCCATAAAACTAAATCTAAGTGTCCTTCCTATTTTTTATTCTACCCTACAAGTGATGCTAAACATACATACACAGTTATTGTACAAAAAAGATTTTCAGAGCTCAGCGAATATTGTGATGTTCTTATGTGTTCAGAGATGTATCAGTGACAGCAGAACAGGGTTTTTTACCCTTTTTATTTCAGGTTTAAGAGACTGGACATGATTAATTTGATAAACACTGCACCATTTTGTCTCGATTCAACTGACAATGATGTACATATTTCTTTTTGTCTTCTTCCTCCTCTACCTCCTTCATTGTAGGTTGGCATCAAGGTTACAGTACAGGACGTTTTGACTAATGTTGAAAAAATTGTGAGTGTGGCATATGCAGAGGAAGGGAGATACCTGTGAGTCTGCGTGGTTTCTCTCCTTTTCAGAAAGTGATCTATACACATCTTGAAACCTGCAAGGGTGTTGGGGGTGGGGTTTCTTTATCCTTCACTCCCCATTTTGAGGAGGTTATTCAGACATCACTATTCAGATAGAAGAGATTATTTTTAAGCTAGCTTCCAATCTAAATTAATTCTTTGCCATTTATGTTAATTAGTTTTCGTGCCAATGTTGTTTCTTCTCCCCAGTGTTTGGCTCCCTGGAGGTATTTGGAAATCAGTCACGGTACTGTTTGGCCTTCACACTTCTGTGCCAAACAGGGACAGTTCTTTTAAAGCTTTTGTATGATAAAGGCCAAATATTCCTCAGATTCTCTTAATAAGCTCCCTTTGTGTGTATTATTAGACCTCTAGATCTACATCCACTGCAGATCGGCAGAGAACAATCATCCCATGAGCAATGTATGTATCCAGTGATTTCTGCTTTCTCTTCTAGAATGGTATATTACAGTTTGCAGAAGAAGCAAATTAGAACAGTTTTACCAAAAACTGAAGTCCAGCTTGTCTCTGAAAGGTTAATGGCTGAATTGGTTAACCTGAAAGCACTAAGATAGTATACAGTAAGGATTGATTATTATTGATTTGATATCATATTGTCGTGGTTTAGCCCCAGCCAGCAACTAAGCACCACGCAGCCGCTT